AATCAGGAGTGAAGTTAATAGCCTTCCAAATGCTTAAATAAAAACAGCCTTACTCTAGAGCAGCAATACTCATAGTAGGATCTTCTCGCATAGTTTGGTATCCTAAAAGGAAAGTGTTGCTTTCATTCTTGCTCAGGGCAAATGCCACAGTCCGTAAGTTTGTCTAAGGGGAATGTGAATTGCTGCTTGGAAAGCTATCTAGTTCACATACAGAGCATCCATTAATCTACCTGTTTTCAGACCTACTTTTCCTTCTAAGTCTCCACTACATTGCTGACTTTAAATGAGTTTATGTGAAACACTTCACAATAATTTCCACCTTTGCTGTATCCTTTTCCCCCAGTGGTTCATGTTGGGGCAACAGCTCTGCCCACCATATGTTATTGATATGTTTCCTTCCCTTTTTTTTTTTAATCTTCTAGAGACTGTTTAAAATGCTTATATTCCTCCTTATCTTTACTATTATAAATGCATTTCACTTTATTAATCCTTTATAACTTAATGGAGTCATAGGAAGTGGTGAAGAGAAATACATGTATTAGGTGCACCATCAACTGGAAGATAATTGTATATATTTAAGAGCCCTCAGATGACTCCCATGATCCACCCAGTTTGAGACAAAAACTATATTTTGTTATATATCCATTTTTTAAGTACTGATCATTTGTGCTTTGTAACTCCTTCCATTCTATGACTTGCTTTTCTTAGTGGTTGATCATTTTCATCAGACCAGGAGTGTGTCTGATTATTTGTGCTCAGCCCACAATCCCATGCCGATGTAAGGCCCATCTTAAAAGTTCAATAAATTCTTTTTGAATAAGAGAATGAAAAAAATGAGAGAAGGAAATATATGTACCTGAGTAAATAGTTTATAAATTCTGATTTTATTTATTCAGGTGGTATGTTTTAAAAATAAAACTAGCTCCATGTAGCCACTTGGGATTAATACCTTTTTGAAATAGATACAGTGACTCACTTTTATTTTTTAAAGAAACTTTCCATTTCCAAGAGCCCTATTTCCAGATACACTTCATAATGCACAGGCTTTCAGTTTGCAAATGGCTTCATTTGAGTTTCATACCAGAAATAGCTTGTATGAGTCCATAAACATGAATGAGTTTCTTCTTGTGGGATTTTCCTATTTTTGTCCAATGCTAACCTCAAATAGAACCCATTTAGGTGAACTTTGTTGCCATAAACCCATTTAAACTCCAAGTTGCTACTGTTAATAACAAGATTAAAAGCAAACATACCTCAGTCATCATTGATTCATAGCTCAGACATAGGCAATAAAATAAATGTATCTATTAAAATATATTATCAAGACAAAAATGTTAAAAGCCATAATCCATTTTTGTCAGCCTTCAAAGTGAATCTAAATTTTTAATAAATTATAGGCATCATCCTTATTTTCATGAGCTATTTTTTAATGATCGCAGAAATAGAGATGCTGAAATTCAAAAATGGAAAGAGAGCAAAGCCAACAGACTTATTAAAAATTATTCTAAGATTCAACTTGTGAAAACAATTTTACCATGTGCCTGACATTTTTTCATTGAGTTGGTTAAAAAAAATTTAGATTAGTGACTGTTTTCTTCCATTAGTGTTTTCTTTCTTTCTTTCTTTCTTTCTTTCTTTCTTTCTTCTTTCTTTCTTTCTTTCTTTCTTTCTTTCTTTCTTTCTTTCTTTCTTTCTGATAGCTGGGCATTATACACAGCATTTACGTTTATCCAGGACCATGGGATTACAATCAGCACAACCCAGGATGTGGGAAATTTTCTACAAGACAGATGACTCAGTTCTCCCAACAAATAACTTGCTTTCATTATTTGATTTTAGAAGTACCTGGGCTGTTCTGGGGAGAATAAACTGTAGAGACAAAGATGGAAGCACAAAAAATTTTAGGGGCTACTATACTGATTTACGAAGAAACGATAGTAACTTGGACCAGAATGTTTGCTGATAAGAAGTGGTTAGATTGCGATATAAGTTATCTTAGTTTTTTTTTTATGTTGTTAGAATACCACAGATTAAATGTATAATGAGAAGAAATTTATTGGGTCATGGTTTTAGAGGTTAAGAGACCTAAATTCAGGTGTGGAGGTGCTATGCCTATAAGTTCAGCACTTGGAAGTTAAAGGAGGAGGATCACCATGAGTTGGAGGCCAGTCTGAGATACAAAGTGAGTCTAAAGCCAGCCTGGACTGCACAGGAAATCCCTGTCTAAAAGGAAATCAGGGACCCCGAATCTGGTGAGGGACTTTCTGCTGTGTCATCCTGTGGCAGAAAAGTAAACAGAAAGCAAGAGAGCAAGACAGCTGAACATGCCCTTTTATAATGAACTGATATAATTGCACTATACCATAGCATGTGTTGAAATAAGAGTTAATAGGATTTACTGTTGGATATTACAAGATGAGAGAAAAAGAACCAGTGATATCCAAAAAATCTTCCCTGAGTCACTGTAGTTACCACTAATTGACATAGGTTGACTAAAGAAGAAATAGGATTCAGAAGAAAAATCAGGAGTTGAGCTTTGGGCAAGGTAACATCTATTAGACATCCGAATGATAGTTGGCTATACCAGCCAAGAAGTCACAGGTGAGTACTGAGTAGGAGATATAAATGTGGGAATTTTCAGGTACCATCAATGTATTAGAATAAAAATTAGAGTATCTGTAGACATGGAAGAGAAGCAATCTGTCACTGCAAAAATACTGTGGAACAAACAACCCTAAAATTTTAGTGACTTGAATTACCAGTTAGTCTCATTCGTCTATGATTGGGTGAGGATGCTCTAGGCTGGGACTGGCTAGGATGATCTGGTACTGATTCACATCTCTTTCATTATTCTCCTAAAGCCAATAGGCTAACCTAGGCATGTTTTTGTTCTTCAGGGCAGTATGACAGTCTGAAGAGGGCAGTGCTGGGTGTAATGACACACACCTACAATCCTAGTACTGGGGGAGGCTGAGGCAGCAGGACTGCAAGTTCAAGCCCAGCCTAGGTAATTCAGTGATTTAGCAACACCTTGTCTCACAATAAAAAATTAAAGAAAGGGAGGGGGCTGGAAATATAGTTCAATGTACAGGTTTTTGTTGAATTCCCAGTACTGCAAAAAAAAAAAAAAGAAGAAGAAGAAGAAGAAGAAGAAGAAGAAGAAGAAGAAGAAGAAGAAGAAGAAAGGAGAAGAGGAAGAGGAGGGGAGATCTGTTGCTATTGTGTTACCTCTTTTACTCCCTTAATCTTCATTTATATCTCTCTACCTGACTTGCATTTGGGGCCAGTTTTTGGAGATAGTAAATATGCACTACTTGTGGGAAACAACACATTTTTTAAAAAAATCTTTTATTTATTTATTTAATACAGAGTCTCGCTGCACAGCTTGGACTTGTGATCCTTCTCTCTCAGCCTCCTGTCTGGACACACAAGGCCAGAATGGCATGTGGTGTCCGGGATCGAACCTGGGTCTTTGTGCTTGTCCAGCGGCTCTCACACTGCTGAGTTATCTCCTCAGCCAAAAAAACAATTTTTTACTGACTTTATATCATGTATCTTAGTGAATGATGTTTTAAATTCACTTGGCTTTGCTATGTCGACATTAATATCATCTAACAGTAATTGTTTTCACTTTTCATTTGTGTTATAACCTATTGTTTCTTTTCCTTCTTTTATTCTGTTGACCAGAATGGCCAGAAAAATCCTGAAAAGTAGTTATAGTAGTACATATCTGTATCTCATTTCTCAATGTTTGACATTACACCTTTCAGTATCTTTCTTGTTGAAAATTTTTACAGGTGGGTGGTATCTATTTATACCTTGCAAAAGTCCATATTTTAAGTTACCAATAAATACCGAATTAAAAGAATTAAAAAAAAAAGATTTATCAGTAATGTACTATCAATAGGGAGGAGGGCCCAGTGTGAATTAGACCCATAAAAAGGCTAGTAGGAGTTTATAAGGGATAAGGAGGAAGGAAAGCACCAGGGGTCCGGTAGAGTCAGGGAGCTGAAAAATTAAAGAGTTGTTCAGTGTAAGTACAAGCAGACCAGCTCTATGTGCCAGCTAACAAGTGCCAAAGTTAGGAATGCATTCCCTGCACCAAAGACTGAGAGATAGAGGCCCTGTCTTACCTGATGATTACTTTTTAAAGGGATGGCATTCGGGTCCCAAAGAAAAAGCTGCTGAGTCCTGGTAGGTACACATACATCTCAAAGAGACAGAAGAAGGGTTCCTAACTGTAAGCCCTTTTCAGTAAAGGTGGTGAGAAAGGGTAGTTAGGGACCTATCCTTAGCTACTGGCTAGAACAAATAGTAAACTCTGAGACAAGCGCCTGAAGGAGCCCTGAGGTCAACGTAGAAATGCAAATTATGTTAATGTTTATTCTTGGAGTTTTAAAACATTTCATACTGGAGATTGAACCCAAGGTTTGTTTTTTAATTTTTTAAAGCAAATTCCATCTCTATTTGTTTTTTAATAACTTTTTAAAAAATTTTATTTATTTATTGTGTGTGTGTGTGTGTGTGTGTGTGTGTGTGTGTGTGTGTGTGGCCAGCTCAGCCCACCTGGGGGCGGGGCTGGCTGGCATGTGCTGGGGGATTTAACCGCGGTCCTGTTCTAAGTAGGTGCTTTAGACCACTGAGCCATCTCACCAGCCCCAACCCAAGGTTTTTGCAAATGCCACCCACAGTTCCCCACCCCCCACCTTCTTTTTGATAGTTTCTCTAAATTACAAATTTACCTATGCGGGGCGCGAATTTACGATCCTCCTACCTCAACTTCCCAAAGTGCTGGAATTACAGGTTTTTGCCACCACGCCCGATTTTTAGTGGATATTTTACATTTGCAGTCCCTCTCAATCGCGACAAGTCACCTTCCAAGTGCTCCACAGCAACCAAACGACAACCGCGTGGAATCACTGCGGACAGCTACACGCCCACGTCCTGATGACGTCAGACCAGGGCGGATTTTAGCCAGAAGGAGGCAAAGCTTCGTAGCTCGCGTGTCTTGGGCCCCACCGGCACCCGTAGGGAAGCCTAGGCAGCGACGGCGCCGCCACGTCCGCGGCGGCGGCCCGAGAAGTATTGGTTGGACTTCTAGGTGACTCCTGGTAACCATGGCCTTTACCCTGTACTCGCTGCTGCAAGCGGCCCTGCTGTGCGTGAACGCCATCGCTGTGCTGCATGAAGAGCGCTTCCTCAAGAACAGTGAGTAAAGCCGCGGGCTGAGGGGCCAGCGGAGTCCGGGAGGCGCCGACCGAGCCAGGCCGCGCGGGGAAACGAGCCGGGCCGGGAGAGGCAGGGCGCACTGCTTGGGCCGAGGTGGACGCTTCCTCGGGGCGAGCCGCGCCACTTTCCTCTCGCCAGGTTTGCGCTCCTTGGCAGGGTCAGTGTTCAGCAGACGCCCGCGACGTGCAGGGGCCCCGGGGGGACAGTAAAGGTGAGCTCGGACGCCCGTGCCTCAGGTTAGCTTGGTGCGGTAATTGCACGGCGTTTCTATTGCGGATTGTAATGGTCGAAAAGGTAGGGGTCTGAATTTTGAGCGATCGTTGGGGCTGGAGGAGGGGGCGTGGCCTAGAAGGGCGAACGAGGGTTCCTGCGCTTTGGGGGGATATAAGGAGAAAGTATGGGAGTCATCGGGGACAGCCAGCCAGCCACTCACGTTCCAAGGTATTTAGTACAGCTTCCCGGGCGCCTGTCACGGGACCAGGGACTGGGCTAGAATTTAGGACGACAAGAATGAAGACACAGCTATGGCTGTGGCGACTTCGAGTCCAGCAATCATCATGCGGGCCTGGGCAGGCAGCTTCTTGGTAAGGCGGAGCTGAGAGTGGATATTGCCTGACGTGAATTATTTGTCGCAGCATACCAAATAGGACCGTTGAAAGCATTAAAACTCGAGTGATTAATTTGTTATTTCAGAAAAAATTATCGAGCACGTTTATTGTGTTCATGTTATGTATCGGACCCATGTAATTAGAGCCAAAGCTAACACATTTGCCTTGCTCTGCCATTGCAATTTAAGCAAAATGAAAATAAGTAACAAGTGTGTGAATTATCATGAAAGACAAATGCAGGGTGCCCCTAACATGTGAATCTCCAACACCTTGGAGGAAGAATATCTAATCTGAAATCTAATAAGTGGGTAGGTATTACCTAGGTGAAGGTGAAAGGGTAGGAGGCTGAGGAGAGCCTTGAGCACTGGAGAGCTGGTGTGGAAATTCGGTATCAGGTGAAAATAGGGGTGCAATCAGATTTTTGTTATTTGCAAATTACTTTCAGTTACAGTATGGGGAACACAAGGAAGAGAAAGAAGTAAATGTGGGAAGAACAATTCCATGTAAAAGAAGTAAAGATGAGAGAGTACAACCAATACTTGTACAGCAGTTATGTGTAGGGTTTGTATTAAGTGCTTTACATATGGTATCAACCTGTGTAACCCTCACAGCATCTTTGGCATCATTGCTTTTCATTTCTGCTTTAGAGATGGGAAACCTCTCTTAAAGAGTAGTTAGCTTTTCCAAGATCAGATAGATACAAAGTTATGGAACTAGGCATTCTGACCCTAGAAACTTTTTACTATTATACTATATAAGAATTGTGTCTGTGAAGGAAAAGCTGCTTAACTCTTGGTAAGCCACTCTGTGTGACCTTATTTGGAAACAGGGTCTTTGCACATGTAATCAAATTGCAATATCACACAAGGTTAGATGTTGTTGTCCTTAGATCCAGTGACTGGTATTTTTATATGAAATGTGATTTAGAAGCACAAACGGACACATTTAGGGAAAAAAATCTATGGGATAGTAGGCAGAGGTTATATGTGATGTGTCTACAAACCAAGGAACCCTAAGGATTTCTAACAACTATCGGATGTTAGGAGAGGAATGGATGAGATTATCTCTCAGGACTTCCAGAAGTTCCCAGTCCGGCTGACACCTTGGTTTTGGGCTTCTGGTATCCAAAACTGAGAAAGTAAATGTCTGTTGTACTAAGCTTCAATATATAGTACTCTGTTCTGCAGCCCTAGAAAACTAATAGAGATGAAAAGATACTTTAAAGGGACAAAACATAATGTTGGATTGTGGGAGTGAGGGAGAGAGGATAAAGTCAGAGATATCTTAGGTGGTCTCTGCCTTAAACTACTGAGTGATGGAAGTACTGTGTTAGCAGTATACACATATACGATAAAAGGGTAACATTTACTACATTGATGTTTTAGTCTTCATAATTGAAGTAAAAAAGGAATTATTGTCAATGGAAAGGATCTAGTAAAGGAAAATTGGGGTAATGGTAAAGAGGTAAAAACATAACAAAACAAGTTTGACTTGCTGAGTTTGACATTTCTATGAGATATATAAAGAGGGATGTAGAATAATCATTGGACCTAAGTCCAAAGAACAGAAACATAAGCCAGGGTGGAAACTGAAATTTGAATTTGTCACTGGGCATGGTGGCACATGCCTATAATCCTAGCACTCAGGAGGCTGAGGCAGGAGGATTGCTACAGTTTCAAGGCCAGCATGGCCTACATAGTAAGTTTTAGGTTAGCCTGGGCTACATAAGGAGACCCTTTTTTTTTTTCCCCCCAGCTTGCTAATCGCTGATGATAAATGAAGCCATGTGAGGAGAAGAAAAAGTATTCAGGAAAGGAATGCAAACAGAATTTGTGCTCATGGCAGTCTTGGAATCTCCTTTAGTACTTGATGTTTATGTAGAGCTAAAAGAGCTGACAGTAAACTTGAAGGAGCCTAACAGAGAGCTGGGAAACTTAGTGAGTTTTTACCAAACTCAAAGTTGTTTGAAGGACAGATTACCCACAGTAAAATGTGGCTGAAAAGCCAAGATAACTGAAAAGAGTCAGAAATATTTAGAGTAATTAAAATGGTGATTTTAAGAGAAGTTATAGCAGTGTGTAAAATCAAGATTGAGATGAGGAGTAAGTGGAAAGTGATAAAATGGGGACAAGATTATCTCATTTTATCATTAAATTTAAGGAAAAGAAGAAAAAGTAGGGTTGGAGAGATAGTTTCACAGTCTAAGCACCTGCCTGACAAGCTCAAGGACCTGAGTTTGATCCCTGGTACCTCATGCTGTGCTGACCCCGAAACCAGGCATGGTGGTGCATGCCTGTAATCCCAGTGCTGGGGAGAGTGAGACAGCAGGATCATGAAGAGTCTCAGCTGTGTAGTGAGACCTTGTATCAAATTTAAGAAAAGAAGAAAAAGTAAGTTGAAGAGGATATATTTTGTGGTGATGATTTTGTCTTGCTTTTAGACAAGAAAGACTAGGTTTTTGATCAGTGACAATGAGAACTAGCCCTTGACAGTTGTCTCTAAGCAGTCAGTGCCCCAGAGAATGTGAAGCAGGGGTGGGGCTGACCAGTAAGACAGTTACACAAGGTATACGAACTTTTAAAAAGAGCAGGACAGAGAAACAGGTGTAAGGAATGTATTCATAAGCAGTTTGTGAACCTTGATTGAATCCCAATGCAAATACTGCAAAAGGTATTTCAAGAACATTTGGTGAAATTTGAAGGTGGCTTAAGACAGTGATGGTGAACTTTTTTAGAGTTTTCAATGATCACAAACAGCTTCCTGTGGCATGCATGCCGTAGATTTGGCACCACTGGACTAGGAGATAGTAGATAACATTAAGGAATCACTGTAAAATATTCTTGTATATGTGATAATATTATATATTATAGTTAAATAGGGAAATGCTTGTTTGAAGCAGATTTTGTTATGTAGTTCAGGCTGACCTCCAGCTTGGGATCCTCCTCCTACCTCTGTCTTCAAAGTGCTGGGATTACAGGCATGCACCAGTGCACCTGGGGAAAATGTTATTTTTCCAAGTGCATACTGAAATATTTTAGGAATGAAATATAACACCATTAAATTACTTTCAATTAAGCGGGAAACCATAAAGCATATGTGATGAAGGGTAACAGTTATTAAATGGAGTGATGTTTTAAAATGTTAAGATTCCTAGATTTGGTAGAGAAAAGTTTTCTTTGTTTTTTTTATAACAAATAGGCCAATGACTGCAAGCTAGGTAAAAAGGAGATATATATATATATATAGGAGCCAACATAACACAGTGTTCCTGTTCTCATGCAGTTTACAGCCTAATGAAGGAATAGATGTTTAAAATAATTGTGCAGATAATTCATTGAGCCTGGGACAAATGTTTTGGAGGAAGACAACAGAGTACAAACACATGGAAATATAACTTCCTGGGTGAATAAAGAATATTATTTCCTAAGGAGAGGACATTTAAAACAGAATCTTGAAATATTAATAGAAATTATTATAGTTCAAGTTACCTTTAAAGTTTTCAAATAAAGATGTCCTGATATCCTGTAGGTGTTTGAATATACAGGCTTGATACCCAGAGGGTTTGTAGGAATGACTTCTTTATGGAGCTTTTCAGTATTGGCTGATAATGTGAAACTGTTAGAAAAAATGCTATCTTGTGAAGAAGTTTAGGTTCAAGGATAAAGTTCTAAAATTATTCATTTATGTCAGAGTTCTTAGTGAAAAAGGAGCAGAAGCTGATTTCTGACTAACAAGAAAAGAGTTTAACTGAAAAGTTTTTTAAGACTGGAGAATCCAAATTCAGGCTCACTTTTTTTTTTTCTTTAATGAACATTTAATTTGTGGCAAATGTAATAAAGCAGAGAAATACACACAAATAACTGATGCCTATTTATTGAAAGAATGGGCCTTTCAGTAAATGATTCTGGATTAACTGGATATCCAAAAAGAAATGTATCTTGATTCCCTATCTCATGCTAAACACAAGCCAATGGCAAGAGCATTGCAGGACCAAATGGGAAAAGCAAAAGCTTGAAGGAATAAGCAGATATTTTTTTCTTGCAGTACTGGGGATCAAATCAGGATCTTACGCTTGCTAGGTAGGCACTTATGCCTCTGAGCTACATCCCTGGCAGTTTTTTGTTTTTTTTTTTTTTTTTCTTAAAGGGTCACATTATAAATATTTAAAAATTTTTAGGCCAAAAGGCAAAATTGAAGATGTTTGTATACTTACTTAGCCATTAGACATATGCATAACCAGGCTGGCCAAATAGCTCAGCAGATTAAAGCGCCTGCAAGCATGCGCAGGGGCCGGGGTTCGATCCCCAGGCCTGCTGTGCTCTCCTGCCCCCAGTGTGTGCTGAGACAGCATTTGAGACTGGGTGTAGTGGC